TTGGAAAAAAATTAAATAAATCCTAATTCATGATTATTCTAAAATAAAAGCCATAAAATTCCAGAACAATCAAGACCAAGGATCTAAACATGGAAGAAAACCAAAATCTATAAATGGATTATAATTACCTAAAACCATTAGATTGATTGATCATGATCTGCAAAAAGTTGTGGTTTGTGGTCTTCCTCAACTATGCAACCCAGACCAAATATGGGCAATACTCTCTGTTTGATGGGGCACAGAAGGTTCGAGAAGCATAGTGTATTGGGGACGATAACCATATATTTATAGGTTAATCTGCTTATGGCTTTCCTCATAGGGGTAGACAGGCATCTTTTTTTGTTCGCTTAGTAAGCTAGGCCAAGGCCCCTTGTATAGGAGCTTCAAAGTGAACCTTCTTATTAGAGAAAAGAGAAAGGGCCAGTAGAAGCTAGTCGCCAAAAGCTAACTTCCAGGCCGGGAAGGAGCCGTCGACTTTCGAAAACTATTAGTAAAGCGCTAATGCACCCCTGCCATCTTTCTGGCAAGCCCCAGGAAAGTATAGGTTGGCTTCCAGCTCCATCTCGACTGGGCATCCTGTTCTCGAGGAGGTGGAGTCCTAGAGCGAACTACTCGTGTTGCCCCAATCCTTTTTCCCGATTTAGCTTTTTCTTCCGAGTTCGAAGACTTATCTGATTTTGTGCTTGAACCTTGTCTATCCTTACCCTAAAACCTTAAGCATGGCCCATACTGGTTTTCAAATTTCTGGATAACCCCAGCATTTGTGTACATACTCGAACAGTTTTAAACATATGTCTTATCCTCTCGTAATGATAACAGAAATCCGGTAACCGTTCATACTTAACGGGCACCCAACATCCCCTCACAGGACCTTCTGAATTAACTTGGATTCCGTTCATACTTAATGGACACCCCGTCAGTTGAAGTTTCTTCCAATCTTGAATAACAAAACACTAACCACCTTAAAAAAACCACCAACCCATAAATTAATTCTGACGGTGCAGCCCAGGGCTGAGAGAAACGCCATCGGTAGGGAGAGCGACTAAGAATCCATATTAACTATTATCAAACAAGCTTGTTTGAATTTATTAAAAATAAAATATATTTGAGATATCTATAATCTTATTTTAAAGGAGGTCTATGGTGTCGAAGGGATAGTAGGGAGAAAATTTTTATGTCAACAAATTTCATGTAATTAATTTTTTATGAACGAGAGAATTAAATGCTCGATTATTTGAAAATTGAAAGCAAACAATATTATTCTAGATTCAAATTTAATTATGGTACTTGATTCAAATTCCAAATTAACAAACCATGGTACTAATACAGAAGTAGTTGTCAAGATTTTCAGTGTCTCAAAAATAAACGTTGAAAATCTTTAAAACAGTTACAAAATAATTTACCTACTTTTTATGAGAAATAAAAATAAAATGATCAAAGGTAAAGAATAAAAAGTAAAGAAAATTAGGTTAATAAGAAATCTAGTCCATAAACTTCCAAATTTGACTGTAATAGGTATGAGTTGTAAATTTCTATAATGGATTTTAAATAATTTACCTACTTTTATGAGAAATAAAAATAAAAAGATGAAAGGTAAACAATAAACTAAAGGTAAAGAAAATTAGGTTAATCAGAAGTCTAGTCCGTAAATTTCAAATTTAACTGTAATAGGAATGAGTTTTTCTATATAATATGTCGGTTAACTTAAAAAATGGTTTATATAATAAAATAGGTGCTTAAAACTGTGATGGTAGAAGAAAATAAAAACAGTAAATAGGGTTTTACAATGGAACAGAGAAGGGGAAGAGGATTACAGGAAGAAAAGGAGGAGAGAAAACTGTAATAATATTGGGATTTGATAGGAGAAAGGAAAGTGTAGTTATGGGCTATGAAGAAGCTATTTGTTTCATGCGAATYCAGGATTCCCGTGAGACGAGCATCTGGATTCCCATGTTAGTTGTCCAGTAATGTAAGATAGTCGGATATCTCGAGATGTTCGGGTATCCCAGGATGTCCATACGAAAGGCATCTGAGTCGATTTAGATGCCCTTTTGAAACATAGGTTTCCATGATTCTCACGTCGTGGACATTTTATATTGACATTTTTATCCCGTCATTATTTTTTCATATATTTTTTTTATCAAATTTCTTTAGTTTATTTGTAATTTTATAATTTAAATACATTAATGTACTATTGACTAATAAGCGAGAAAGTATATTTATGTATTACATGTACGTATAAAATAAACTTCAATTAAATTAAAAGGGGTTCGGACATAGGAATTAGTAATTCCTATGTATTTTCCGCCACCAGATRTTGTAGGGTTAGGCAGTTGGCCCGTGAGATTAGTCGAGATGCGTGCGTAAACTGGTTCGGACACTCACGGATATCAAAAAAGAAAGAAAAACAAAAAAAAATTATATTTATACACATACACATATACATTCACATACATATATATATACCAAAAGCATGCTTAAGCAGCAAAAGGGACCTTGATTTTTGCAACATGCATGAGAAGGACTAAGTACAGACGAAAGATTTATCTCTTCCAACTATAAAAACACCCATGCCAGTCGCTAATCTTTAAACAAAAAATTAAAGTTATTAATTGTAGTACTTATTAAATGATAGTGTTTAAATTAATGAAATCCAAAGTCAAAGATTAAAATGGAAAAGCCTTCCTTATATATTCGGTAACACGAGATTTCTATTGGGTCGTGATTCCCAAATTTGGGTGGCCTCACTTTATATTTACGTTCGATTTTAGTAAACACCATCAAATGATTCCTTGATTATGGTAAGTCTAAATCATGATAACTAAATTAAAACAACTCGTTTGAGACCAAAATGATAGTAAAATGTCTGCACCAGATTTTAAATGTCGATATGGATGTGTTAAATAATATCGATAGKCAATGGATATTCCTATAAAAATAATAAAAATTAAATAATTCATAAAATGTATTTAAATTAACTAATTAATACTTCTTTCCCATTTAAATAAGTCAAAAATTATTATTATTAATATTGCATCCATGTTAATTATATTTTCTTACATCATTTCCATTTTCTCACGAAACAATAAAAATGATAATTAACCATTATGTCTATGCCAAATCCATAGACATGAAAATGTCGACTGAAATGTAAAATCTAAGGTATACCGCTTAGACTAAATTTGTAATATAATTAAGAGGTAAAAATATAAAAGTGAATGGATTATATTGTTGTAGAAAATGGGAGAGAATAAATGGAAGAGATGGATGTAGAGATTAAATTATATTGTAATTATAACTAAAATAGGTCAAATCATATGACATAGTAATTATAATGAGTGGCATAGGACTGCACAATACAAAGTGAAAAGTCGGGGTATACAAACCACATATAATTACTTACTCCAAAATGTTAACCTTTAAAAACTACCGTTTATTAAAATTTATTGTGCCCAAAAAACAGCCCACAATCCGATACTAAAACRAAATAAATTGTAAAAAAATAAAATGGCACAATAAAGTTGTTTTTAAGTATTTAGAAGGTGACTATTTTTAAATTTTTGTGCATAATCTTATTTAAATGGTTTTTTTTTTTAATATTTAAAGGATAAGATCTGTCTGATACAAAGAAGAGGACAACGACAAGCTCACACTTCAATAGGGAAGCCGATAATCTCGCAAGCTTGCACGAATGTTCAAGGATAAGGAGACAAGTGGTGAACTCCGCCTAGTTCTAACCAAAGGATGGCTAGCGCCATAAGGATTCCCCACACATTGGGGTTTGGTTGCGCCGGCACCACTCTACCAAAAGTCAGGATGGACTGAGCAAAAAGAGGGAGTGGAAGTCTGACTCCATTCCAGAACATCCGAGGGTAAAAACTTACCCATCCCGGAGGGGGATCGTCGATCCTTTCGTCCTGCGACGCATTAGGACGTAATTCAAGACTCTGAGCAAATTTTCAAAAGGTCCTGCTTCGTCGCTTGCGACGAAATATGGTTCACAATCAAACGATTAGCCATTTGGAGTCGAAGAGCGGGGGTACAAAAGGTGTGAATAGTGCGAACAACAAGAAGGGTAATCAACGCCCCCTTTTGAACGGATTAAAATTCTCATTTATATTTTGTTTATTACAAATTTCAATGTATACTAAAGTTAATTGCTAAATCAAACTATCAATGAATTCAAATCATTGCCCACACTTTTGTACTAAAAAGGCTTACGTAAAGTGTGCTTTTTTTTTTTTTTACATTATTGGCTACTTTTCTTATAATAATGAACTTAGATTTACATCCCCATTATAATCGCGCTAGACAAATATCACTATGTGACTTAATAGAATGAAAATGATAGAAATTAAAGTAGGGAACAAATGAAGCTCGAATAGTTAATGAGAAAATAATTATAGAAAAGATCCTATTTTATAATGGTAGAGAACTGATAAAAATTTTAACTTATTATAAAACGAATGGACATAATTTTTCGTATTCACGTATTTTAGATTCTATACTTTTTTGAAATTTTATTTACTCRAAGCTGAATTAAAATTCTCATTTATATTTTGTTTATTACAAATTTCAATGTATACTAAAGTTAATTTCTATTTTGTCAAACTAAAAAAAATTATATTTTCACTTAAAAAAAAATCAGTGTATTTATTCAGATCAAAATTATTGTATGTGTATTATATTGAAATAAAAATTGTGTTAAGTACTAAAACTTAATTTACCAAATAGAATATAAATTATAAAATAATAAGCTTCACAAAATAATAAGATTATTATTGTATGTATTAATTTTTTGTTCTTTTTTTTCCACACATAAAATAACCGTACGCTAAAGGACCGTCTACAACCAYGAACTCTTCTATGGTTAATGCTCCATTTCCTTCTCCCAGGGTTAGTGGTAGTTTGATGCTACCTTCTGGTTAAACTTTCWCGCTGAAGAAGCCGACCAGCGGCGGGGCATCTCTTGAGCTTGGTTGAATCTCATCCGAGGGTTTGCAACACCCCTAGAGTGAGGATGTTGGCCGAACTTCCCTCATCCACCAAGACTCAGTGTGTGGGAYGTGATCAATGTCTRAACTGGCTTATTMGTCTGCGAAGGTAATGGGAGGCCCAGGCTCAAGAGCCCTTACAACTAGGACTTCCCAAGTCATCGGACTGTTTCTGGTTTGTCGGGTCAAGGCTTTCCCTTTGTTCCCAGAGTAGCCTACCGCGGGTCCTCCGCATAGCGYCGCCTAACATTTTAAGTCCTCATGATTAATTTGAAATTTGAATTAGGTCCTAACTAAATTTCAACCTAAAATATTGGTTGTAGTTTTAAGAACAAAAAATAATAATAATAATAATTCACATCTAAAAAACAAAAAAATGATTGACGTCAGCCCTTTCCTAAACACAATTCAAGTTATTTTAGAATTTTCTTGTTGTCTTCTACACCTATTTGGTCTCTCTCCTCCATCGTCTTTCTTTATTCTTGTGTTTGTTTCTCCATTTTAAATCTTCGCATTGATGCACAAGCAACAGTAGCACCAAGTGACTTGGAATCGGACGCGAGGCGGAGGCGGAAATTGAAACGACGAGAGGTTAGAAATGAAGAAGAAAGTTCGAGACTCGATTCAGAATCTTAGCTGCGTCGCTGGAAAGGTAAGTTTTTGAGTTCCATTTTCCTGGGACTCTTTTTTCACCCCATTTCCTACCAGAGTCTTGGTTCCCTTCTTTAATAAACTAAGTGGTAAAGAGAATGAACTTGGGGAGGTGCCACTCAAAATGTTGGTATAGCTTTGCCTAATTATTTTCACAATGGTTCCTATACTTTCGAAATGGTGAAATCTGGTTTTTCTCATTTTTCTGGAACACACCGAGGAAGAGGCACCGACTTAGCCGCAAGCTGGCAAACCAAGTTATTTCACATGCCTCCTCAAACTTGTAGTTCAAATCGGAACCATTCTCATCTACTTTCTCATACATTGATCTATGTTCTGTAGCSTGGTTAGTTAGCTTGTGTATGACTCATTTCTTTGCCACCAAATACTTCCAACTCAAAAACAACTAYGAGTCAGTCTCACAACTACGACTAGTCTTGGTTTTCCTCATTCCGTGGGTTATATATTTGCTGGATGTTTTTGGGTCTACTCATCTTTTCTAACACTTTTATGTGAGTGTGTATTTGGTTGGTTGTCTAATGATCTTTTTTTTACCAGTTTKATTCAKGTTCATGTACACATTTTTTAAGTGTTTTTTTTAGGAGGACAAAACTATGCAATATTTTTTAGTCCGAGATATTTGTGACTTTAATTTCGCTTTCTGTTGAAATATTTACGTTTAAGATATTAGTCTACCAGATTACATACAAATTTTAGTTGCCAGATAAATGCAGACCSGAGATTAGTTGCGGCTTAAAATTAATCAATCAATCAAAATCCAATTAATTCAAATTTCTTCCCAAAAATTTCATTCCATTCCATTTCATGAAGCATGATTTTATTACTAACACAATTTTCACAAACTTCCCACCGCCAAGCAAAACTCACAACAACAAAATTAAAAAGGAAAGAAAACTAATAAAAGGATCAAGAAAAACTGCAATTAAGTTTGTTTATGAAATCAAGGGAAAAAAAAAGATCGAGGAAACAAAATCATGAATCAAACTATAAAATTGCTTCATGAAATGGAATGGAATGAAACTTTTGGGAAGAATGTTTGAATTAATTGGATTTTGATTATTGATTAATTAATTTTAAGCAGCAACTGATCGYCCGGTCTGTGCTTATTTGGCAACTAAAATTGTCACGTAATCTGATAGACTAATGTCTTAAACRTAAATGTTTCAACATAAAGCAAAATTAAAGTCACAAATATCTCGGATTAAAAAATATTACATAGTTTTGTCCTCCTCAAGAAACACTTCAAAGGAGTGTGTACATGAACTTTGAATAAAACTGGTAAAAAAATGATCATTAGACCTGAACCAGCCAAATACACACTTACATAAAATTGTTAGAAAAGATAAGTAGACCTAAAAACATCAGACAAATATATAACCCACACGAATGGAGAAGATCAAGACTAGCCGTAGTTGCGAGATTGACCAGGGAGTTAGAGACTCCATAGTTGTTTTTGGGTTGGAAGTACTTTGTGACAAAGAAAAGGGTCATACACAAGCTAACTAACCAGACTACTGAACATATATCGATCGGTGTTCAAATGCTTAGATATGAGAATTGTTCCAATTTGAACAACCAGTTTGAGGAGGAACGTGAAATAACTTGGTTTGGCAGCTTGTGGCAGAGGTTGAGCCTCCTCCTCGGTAAATTTTATTTTTTTTTTTTTTTGGAAAAACCTGATTTCATCATTTTGAAAATATAGGGAACCATTGTGAAAATAATTACTGACAAAGTCATACCAATCTTTTGAGTGACACTGGATTAGCCCTCGCAAGTTCATTTTCTTTGCCAGTTAATCTATTAAAGAATGGAATCAAGACTCTGGCACGAAATAGCGTGAAAAAAGAGCACCCAAGGAAAGGGAACCTAAAAACTTACATTTCCGACGACCTAGCTGAGATTGTGAATCGAGTCTTGAGCTTTGTTCTTCATTTCCAGCCTCCCGTCGTTTCAATTTCCACCACCACCTCGCGTCCTATTCCGAGTCACTTGGTGCTGCTGTTGCTTGAGCATCCATGCAAACATCGAAAATGGACAAACAAACACAACAATAATGAAAGACGATGGAGGAGAGAGATCAAATAGGTGTGGAAGACAACAAGAAAATGCCCTTGCAAGATTCTCTAAAATGTCGGATTCTCTAAAAATTAAATGCCCGATTCTCTAAAATGCCTAATTCTCTAATTTAGATGAGCTAGTCGCTTGATTGATCGCTGAATTAAATGCCAGATTCTCTAAAAATTATATGCAACTAATATTTTATATTCAAATTTAGTTATGGCCTGATTCAAATTTCAAATTAACTGTGATAATATTTAACTAATTTATGAGTGAATTTTATATAATCTATATAATATTAAAAAAAAAACACTTTTAGAGATCATGTCAACATGAGTGCAATTGTCACCTACCCATTCCCTTAGTTCGAAGGTTTGAACCTCTGATAYTCCATTTTTTTAGTACAACATAGGGGTGAGAGATCAAATTTACAATCTCTTAATCGGAGATATATACCAATTAGAAGCATTATATGTTAACATTTATAATAATAATGTTATTATTTTATGAAGCTTATTATTTTATAATTTATGTTCCACGGGGTAAATTAAGTTTTAGTACGGTACATTTATGAACAGATATAATACACATACAACCAAATTAGAAATTAGCTTTACTATACCTTGAAATTTGTAATAAACAAAATATAAATGGTAATTTGAATTTTAGGTTTGAGTAAATAAAAATTTGAAAAGGTATAAAATCTAAAATACTTGGATACGAAAAATTTTGTCCATTCSTTTTRTAATAAGTTAAAYTTTTTTGCATTAATTATCGAATTCTAAGCGAGAATTTCAAAAGTTTCATAACATATGAGTTCTCTACCATTATAAAATAGGATCTTCTTCCATAATTTTTCTCATTAACTATTCCAACTTCATTTGTCCCTACTCTAATTTTTCTCGTTTTCGTACTATAAGTCATATAGTGGCATTTGTCTTAACGATTATTAGACAGGTGAGGTAAATCCATTTTTAGATACGATTTTCTTCTTTGGTTTTTTTGTCTTTTGTAATTAATTTTTCACTTGTTCAAAATTCTTGTGCATGCTTTGGATTTGCCGGTAAGTTTATTTTTATAAGAAACATAGCACATAAATCAAATAAAAGAAGCATATTTTTTTTACGTAAGTCTTTTTAGTACAACAATGTGGGCTAGGGTTTGAATTAAGTGATAGTTTGATTTACCAATTGATTTCATATTCTTTTATTTTAGATAGCTTGAGTTGCATTAGGACGTTTTTTTTTTAGTAATTTTGCTTTATTATTATTTTGAGGCTTCATTTACCTTTTTGTGTTTTTAAGTACTTTTCTATCTCGTTAAAACAAGCAACTCAAGCTCAGTCAACAATAAGAAACCAGCTAAAACAAACTATACTAGCTCAGATTTAGTAACCGATAAGAAACAAATGAATATATACAAGTGAAAGATGAAGAAGAAAGATGGGAAAAAGAGCACAGCAACTCACCGTCTCAAAGAATTAGATCCCATATTCATTAGTGAACGTCTGACCAACTACAAGTGCGCCTGCACAAATGTTGAAAATGGACAAGTATGAAAACACTAGAAATAAAGATCAATCGAGATTCGAATTAGAAACAAATTTTAACATAGAATAATGGCCACTAGTTATTGTACAAAGCACAAAATTCAGAAACTAAAAAGATCCTACATAATTAAAGCCCCTGTGAAAGCTTTACAATATCAAAATGGTGGAAATATTGAGAAAAATATTTGTCAAATGAAAGACTCTACTAACCAAAAACTGCAATACAATCCCTCCAAAAACCAAGCCTCCTAGTGTTACAAGTTTGCTCATATGCAAGTCGTATCAAACTAATCACTTGGTTTCCAACGAAATCAAAGGCCTGAAAACGATTACGAGGAACATAGAGTGAGACGATGGAATTGGATGCAAGAAGTATTATGAGTATCCATAAAAGCATGAATTTCAAAATCTGCCATGACACATATTTGCAGGATCGGATTAGAACTATCAAAATTGGTCAGAAATACAGTGGGGACTAGAGAGAGATTTATGGAACAATTAAAATCACAGGATAAGAAACCTTCATTTCTGCAGAGTGATTCAGCAAATATAATCTCAAAAATCTCTACAGTCCATATTTCAATCATAGATTTGGGTGGATGAATAAAATGACTTCTCCTTCTCCGTCAATTATTTTCTGAATTGAACTTGGAAATGAAGCAAGGGGAAGAGGGAATTAATTAAGACAGATACTTCTAATTTTAATATCAAATTATTAAACTAATTGAAATCACCGTTGGGTTYGTCGCTGTTGCAGAGCTCGCCGTCGTTCAAGACCCCACCTGCTGCATGCTATGGCGCCGCCGTGAAGATTCGTCGCCGTTCAAAGGACGCGCCGCTGCAAGATCTGGGTTCGAGGGGTGTGGGTCGCCGTTCGGAGATGCTGCCGGTGTAGAGTGAGATTGCGGGAGACAGAAATGGATTGAAGAGAAAGTGAGATGGAGAAAAGGGGCAGATCGTGAGGAAAATAAAGAAGAAAGATTGGGCCACGCATTTGTTTTAAAACATTCAATGTCGTTTCCTAATCGATATTCAAATTTGACGTCGCTTATTAATTGGCATTAAATTTCCAATTTTTCACAATAAATTTTAATAAACGGTAGTTTTTAACGTGCTGCTGACCTTGATGACAGTAGAGCTGGCGACCGAAGTTTCGAGAAGTAAGAAGTGCTTCGTTGATGTACTGACCAAACAAAGAAAGATTTTTTCCAGTACGTGCCTATCAATATAATTCTGATTTCTGACTTAACAAATATATGTCAATTASGGCTGAGTTATGCTCGTTTTGACAGACTTACGTCACTTTCGTTATTAAACCTTTTAACTTTTCATATATCATATGATTTTACCTCTTTTAGTTATAATTACAATACAATTTAATTTCTACATCCATCTCTTCCATTTCTTTTCTCCCATTTTCTAGAACAATATATATCACACGATATAATCCATTCACTTTTATACTTTTATCTCTTAATTATATTACAAATTTAGTCCATRCAATATACTTTAGATTTATAAATTTCAGTCGACATATATGTCTATGGATTTGACATAGACACAATAACTAAATTATCATTTTTATTGTACCGTGAGAAAATGATGCAAGGAAATATAATTAACATGATGCAATATTAATAATAATTATTAATATTAATATTTCAAGAAAACACTTTTATTATTCTTTTATTTAATATTTATTTTCTTTCCTTATTTATCTCAATTCCTCCCTCTCTTCGTGTTAAAACACAAAACACTTTTTTTCTAATTTAATATTTATTTTTTCCTCATTTATCTCAATTCTTCCGTCTCTTTTCCGTTAAAAAACAARATACTTTTATTTTTACTTTTCTTTTTMTTTTTATTTTTACTTAATATTTATTTTATTTCCTTATTTATCTCAAATCTCTTTCTATGTATTTCTAGTTAAATAACAAAACACTTTTATTTTTGTTTTTATTTAATATTTATTTTTTTCTTATTTATCTCAATTCTCTCCTTTCATTTCTGGTTAAAAAACAAAATACTTTTATTTTTTTTATTTAATATTTATTTATTTCCTTATTTATCTCAAGTCTCTTTCCATTTATTTCTAGTTAAAAAACAAAACACTTTTATTTTTCTTTTTATTTAATATTTGTTTTTTTCCTTATTTATCTCAATTTTCTCCATCTATTTTTGTTAAAAAAACAAAACACTTTTATTTTTCGTTTTATTTAATATTTCTTTATTTAATAATTATTTAATTTCTTTATTTATCTCAATCCTCTATGATCACATGTCTAATTTCCCTCTAATCCTATAACAATTATAGGTTCATAGCTTCTTCATAGCTCATAATTGCACTCTTTTTCTCCTATCAAATCCCAATATTATTATAGTTTTCTCCCCTCCTTTTATTCCTCTAATCCTCTTCCTCTCCTCTGTTCCATTGTGAAACCCTATTTACTGTTTCTATTTTCTTCTACCATCACAGTTTTAAGCAGCTATTTTATTATATAAATCATTTTTTTAAAGTTTACCCAACTCCAAAACATGCCTATTACACTTAAATTTGAAAATTTATTATTGACGTCCCAATAATAACGACTGGTTAAATCAATTGAGGGAGGTTCGAGCTGAACCACGAGTTAGCCCCTTTGGAGAACTAGTCGATGATCCGAAGGCAAGGATAGGCGGCACTTCGGACATCGAGATGTGGTTCAAGATCGAACCTTCGAGTGCTGGGGTGRAGGAGAAAGCCATACAGATGTCGRRCTCCTGTTTCGGCCGCTATTTGAGAAGGGCTTCCAAATTGTCAGCACTCCRGGGTCAGCTATCCAGCGAGTATTGGATTATACTACCGAGGTAAGATAAATAAATATTTTACTATTTTCTCCCTCTTTTAGAATCAGTCAAAAAAKATAAATAAATATTTTCATATCAAATGAATACTAGTGGTAACAAGMACAAATCGTCAAAACATATCAACTCACAATTTCACTCTCCATAAAAAATACAATAAACAAAAATTAATAAATATATCTTTACTAAATAATAAAGCCTGACACTCCCCTAGACAAATGAATCTTATAATAAATGCATAAGAGAGAGAAATTATCAATCAATTTAGCACAAAAGTTTCCATAGAAGGTTTCAACTTTTTTTTTCAATAAAAAAATCATTTAAGGAGAACAGCAATAAAACATTCATATATTTTTCAAAAGATATAACTTCTCCTAAAATTAAGCATACTCAAATATATATATATATATATATATATATATATATATATATATATATATCTCAAGATGTTCCAGGATTTCCATAATAATACTAAAATGCAAATGTTATTTAATTAACACAAATTTAAACTTTTAATTACAATAAACAAAAATTTATAAGGACATATCAAATGTTAAAAACTCAACCAAAAGACTTAAACAAGATACCAAATTTGTTCTAATCAAGAAGATATCAATTTCAATYTAATTATAGCAATTGTTGACAAATAAAACCAATTGTTCTAAAARAATAAACAAATTTGTTGGGATAAAAAGAGACGTCAATTTTTTAAGCGAAACAATTCCATTAATCAACCAATGAGGTTTATGAAATTAAACAAATAAACTATTAAAACTCTCCCTATAAAAAATAATTCAACCATTAATTCCGAGCGTCAAAATATTATTAAATATAGAGGCTTTTTATAAAATTTCAAACAAAGCAAATAATTTCTTCAACCTCATGTCACATGCAATCTATAAATTCAAAAACAATTATTGCACAAAAAAAAAATCAACACTYCTTCAAGCATCACTACCAAACAAACTCYTCCAAAAATAAGACAAAATTTATTTTCAAATTTTAACTTCTGCTCCAATAATAACTAAAAAAAAATCAATATATCCATAAACAAATATCATAAGAATATTTTCAATATCACTAAGAAAAAGATCTTCAATGCTCATTTTGACATAAATAAAATTACCAAATGAACTGATTTTACATTTGAAGCATCAAAAGAGRGCTATAGAATTCCTTTTGTGATAATTTCCTTTTTGAATCAAACAACCATTTAAATTTTGAATTTTGGAGCAAACCTACAAAAGACTTTCAAAATATCATGCTTTCTTTGATCTTCAATGCTCATTTTGACATAAATAAAATTACCAAATGARCTGATTTTACATTTGAAGCATCAAAAGAGATCTATAGAATTMCTTTTGTGATAATTTCCTTTTTGAATCAAACAACCATTTAAATTTTGAATTTTGGAGCAAACCTACAAAAGACTTTCAAAATATAGTACCCATGCTTTCTTTGGTCTTAAGTACAATTAATTTTTGGATTCCATTATTTTTAGTTTCATTTTCTATAACATTTAATTTGGTCAAATAAAATAACAATCATAAGATTTATGTCCAATATTTTTTTWAAAAAAACATGATATTATGCATCAATTTTTCTCTTACCAGAAATGTATGYTCATTTTTTTTTCTCACATAAGAATTCTTTTCTATAAGAATATAAAGATTTTGCTGCCTAAGAGATATTTCTTTTTGCCTTTTTTGCATGATAATTAGCCGCAGTTTCCATTTTATAGCAATTTGRTCTAATATGACATTTAACTCCACAATAATGACACATAGGCACAAATTTAGACTTAGCATGAAAATGATTAGGCGGCACAAATTTAGTTACATCATGCTTATGATAAGCATGATCAAACTTTGGCACAACATTATGCAAATTTTCACTATGCACAATAGAGGAGGCTTTTCACAAAAATTGTTTTTGAAGTAAATGGAGTAGAATTTTCATCAACATAACCTCRTTCTCTTTTATCATTACAAAATTTACCAATTTCAATAATTTTGTCTAATTTTTAYGCACGGATTGTCAAATTCTTAATACTTTCTTTAACACATGTAAGCTCATTCACAAGATTTGACTCTTTTTCTTTAAAATGTTTAACAAGTTCATCTCTATCAAAAACATCCTATTAGATAAATTTAATTTGATCTAAAAAAAAGAAAAATAGTAATTTTATGAATAATGTTAAACTATTTGCTTAAATACACCCAAATTCAACCCTATTTTCGGATGTATATTTTTTCAAAACTAAAAAATAAAAAGAATTTRGAAATAAATCGTTTCTTTCAGAAATTGGGTGTTACAATACAAGTCTCTATATATCCGAAATCCATGGATTGGCTGAAGGATACACTAGAAACAAGGATAATGATGCTATTGCTATACACTAGATACAAGGACCCGTGCAGAAAAGATCTCTGAAAACAAATCATCAAAAAGTAAACAATGATATTGGCTCTCAATCCGAGAAAATTAAGTGTGTTTAGTTTGGTAATCAGAACAAAGAAATACGAAAATAAGTAATTCAATGTAAACAATTGTATTATTCATTTTTAATGTTTTCATTTTTAGTAATGAAAGCCAAAAATTGGGGAAAGAGTGAAGAACCTTTTTTCCATGTATAGTTTTAGTAAAAAACTTTTTATTAATTTTGATGGTTCCACATAATTAATTTGCCATTGATGATAAAAGATTCTTGGGGATCCATTTTGTCCTTCTGGGTACTTCACTGTTCACACAACTCTATCTTATGTGTCCTCTGTCTAGTGCAATTACTCTATATTAATTAACTGGTCTTGGCCTAATATGATATAGTAGAACTASATAGGATCAAAGTAATATTTTTGGTCCTCTTAGATATCACATATATATATAATGGAACTTAAATCTTTAGCTTCATTGATAATTTACCATGTTCAAGAGTATCTAAACTTTGTTACATGAGTCTCACTCACATTATGACACCATCAAAGAAATAAAAAATTTTCRTTCTCATAGGGAGGAAGACCAAAAACATAATACTTATAAAAGGGTTTAAACTTTTAATTTTTGAAATTTGACTYACGTGGTATTTAGGTCGGTGAGGTTTCAAACTTAAYATTTTTAGGYTGTGAAGAATTTTTTTTTTCCTTTTTAGTACATTC